AGAGTCTCAGATAGGTCCTTCACCCCTAAAATGGTTAAGAAGCACTAATCTAAAAAGATGCCTCACTGTACTCAAGAATGCTTTTTATTTTTATTTTTTTTAGGGACGAGGTATCACTCTCTTGCCCAGTATGGAATGCAGTGGTGTAATCATAGCTCACCACAGCCTTGACCTCCCAGGCTCAAGTGATCCTCCCACCTCGGCCTCCCGAGTAGCTGACACAAGCCACCATACCTAGCAAATTTTCTGTAGAGATGAGGTCTTGCCATTTGGCCCAGGCTGGTCTCAAACTCCTGGCCCCAAGCAATCCTCCCACCTTGGCCTCCCAGAGTGCTGGGATTACAGGCACAAGCCATCACATTTTGCTTTAACGCACATTGGTATGTTTTCTCGTGGGCATATCAACATGTCCAGAACTCAACTCTTGATTCCCCTTCAACCCCACACCTATTCAGCTCCCACTGACCACTGCTGGTCAACTGTGCCTGAAATCCAAAGAGAGGAAGGTATAATGAGGCTTGTGCGAACATCCGAACATCCATTCCCATCATGGCCTAACCAGTGTTTCAGGTTTACTTTAGAATGCCCTGGGCGGAGAGGAGGGCTGCATTCAGTTAGTTGGGAGAGCTTAGAATTTTATTTTTGGCTGACATTCACCTTTCTAATGTAAACTATTAGCCACACCTGGCTCTGTGGCTGCCTGGGGCTTTTACACACACACACCCACAGGCACGCACACATGCACATACACACAGGCACACTAGTGAACCCTATCTGGGCCCAGGCAGGGTCTGCAGCCTCCCCAGCGCCCCTCCCCACAGATCTAATCTCAGCCCTTCTGCTTGTAGTTACTGGGGGTAGGGTGAGTGATAAACGAGCAGGGATGGGTGCAGGAAGTTTGTGGGTGGCAGGCAGAGACCGGAGAGTCAGTGAAAACGGAAGAAAGCTGCTTAATCCAAGTTTGAAATCAAGACAGCAGAAACAACTCCAGCACCGTAGTTATCACACAGACTTCAACGTGGCCACCATTCCTGCCACTTGGAGTCATCCCCCTTCCCCACCTAGCTGCCCCCTCCATCCACGGACCCAACCCGGGTGGTGCCTTCTCTGGTCACTCATGCAATGCAACGCGGTTCCCCGCCCCTCCAGCCCCCTCTCCACCCCTGCACTGTTGGGCTGCACAAGCCCAGCTGTGTGCCTGCACTCTGCCCTGCGCTGCCGCTAGCTGGCTGGGTGACCTTGGGCAAGGGACCAAACTTGCCTGAGCCTCAGTTCCCTGCTGGAATGGGGAACCCACCACAGCGGTAGCTGGGAGCACCAGTGGAGTGAACACGTGTTTGTGGACACTTAAACAGGCACTTCCCACAAGGCCATGGCCTTGCAGGGAGGGCTCTGTCAACTGGTGCCACCACAGTTGCTCTGGCATTAGGAGGTACAGGCCCTGGTAGACATTCAGAACTTCCTTTGAATGAATGAATGGAATCCGCAAAACAGCCGGTGGGCAGGAGGCTGGGGCCCATGGCAGCCTTGGGGAGGGCCTGGGGTCTTCTGGGGCACATTCCTTGCCTCAGGCCAACTCAGCAATTGCTGCAGAGGAATCGGAAGTGTCCCTAATTTGGAAGGCAGGAAAGGGGGGTAGCTGAGAAGAGCTAGTTGGGCCAGATGATGGAAGGCGGACTGACAGAGCAGGAGACAGGAAGAGGCTAACCATGTACTATGGCCTTGCGGGGCCGCGGATTCATCCACTCATTCAGGCAGTGGAAACAGGAGTGCAGACCCGAGCTGGGGCCAGCCACCTGCACTCCAGCAGGCTCTCCTTCTCACTCCCCTCCCCTCCACCCCGACAGCGGTAAAAAAAAAAAATGCAAAAAATGACAGTGGTAGCACTTCCTCATTGGGTTGTGAAGGTTACGTGAGTTTAATACAGGTAAGGCACTTAGAATATGGGCACAGGACAGGTGTTCAGTAAACATGTATAAAATGGCTAACTAAAAGAAAAAAAAAAACATGAGGCCAGGTGCAGCGGCTCATGCCTGTCATCCCAGCATTTTGGGAGGCCGAGGTGGGAGGATCACCTCAGGTCAGGAGTTTGAGACCAGCCTGGCAAACACAGCAAAACCCGTGACCATTAAAAATACAAAAAACAACAAAAAACTAGCCAGGTATGGTAGCGCATGCCTGTAACCCCAGCTACTCAGGAGGCGGAGGCAGGAGAATTGCTTGAACCTGGAAGGTGGAGGTTGTAGTGAGCCAAGATCGTGCCACTGCACTCCAGCCTGGGTGACAGAGTGAGACTCTGTCTCAAAAACAAAACGAAACAAAACAAAACAAACAAATAAAGAAAACAAATAATGAGGCCAGGCACGGTGGCTTACACCTGTAATCCCAGCACTGTGGGAGGCCAAGGATCACTTGAGCCCAGGGGTTCTAAAGCACCCTGGGAAACAAAAGTGAGAGCCCATCTCTACAAAAAAAATTAAAATTTAGCTGGGCATGGTGGTGTGCGCCTGTAGTCCCAAGCTGCTCGGGAGGCCAAGGCAGGAGGATGGCTTGAGCCAGGAAGATCAAGGCAGCAGTGAGCTCTGATTGCACCACTGCACTCCAGCCTGGGCGACAGAAGAAGACCCTGTCTCAAAACAAACAAACAAACCCCACAAACATTGACTGAACCCCCCATTGAGGGAAGCAGGCTCAAGGGCAAAAGAAACAGACCGACATGACCGAGAATCACAGAAGGAAAGCACTCAGTTACTCACGATAAACCTGGGAAGGAAGAAAGTGGAATACAGTTTATTCACTTAATGCTTGTTTGCTAAAGCCAAGTAGGTAACGGCAATGCTAGATGTTTAATGTGTTTCAAATACAAACGTTTGTCAAAATACCAAGTAAAAACGTAAATTTATCAAACAGGAAACCAGAAACCTCCCCCCACTTACCTTTCTAATGTAAACCACGAGCCACTGCTGCCCCAAGGCTGCCTCAGGCTTCAGGCGTCCTCCAGGAGCTTCTTCTTTAATGCAGTTTCTGTTTTCAGGGACTCTCCTGGCCCTTGGCAGCCAGCTTCCTATTGCAGGAACTGAGGGTCTAGGAGGGTTCGTGGCGAGGTTGTCGGGGTTGGGGACCAGAAAGCAGCCGGGCAGGCCTCACAGTCAGAGTCCACATCCCGGGCAGCATACGGACAAACGGTCTGAGCTGGCTGACAGCAGTCAGGGTTGGCGCCTCTAAGGAGGTTGAGGGCTGAGTTGGGGAGGTCACCGCCTGTACCCAGGCATAGCAGAGGTGGTGCAATCAACAAAGGGAAGGTGGTCCGAAGTGGGGCAGTGGTGAAAAGCCAGGCCAGCGGGGTGGAGCTCATCTGGAGCAAGTAGGTACGTGGGTGGGGGACGCAGGTAGTTGCAGGTGGGCCAGCATCTGCTCAACCTTTCAAATGGTGAAGGCCGTGGACTATGAAGGTGGGGCTCAAGCAGGGGAGACTGACTCAGCCCTGCCACTACCCCACAGCAAGGAGCCCAAACAGATCCCTTGGAGGGATGTCGGGAGCCCCTACGTGGTGGAGTCCACAGGCGTGTACCTCTCCATAGAGGCAGCTTCGGTAAGCCGGGGAGAGGTGTCCAGGGCCAGCTGGGGGAATGATGGCACCAGAAGCACCTGACACCTGCGCTTCCTCCCCAGAACCACATCTCAGCAGGTGCTCAACGTGTGGTCATCTCCGCGCCCTCGCCCGACGCACCAACGTTCGTCATGGGTGTGAATGAAAACGACTATAACCCTGGCTCCATGAACATTGTGAGGTAAGGGGGGCAGCGACATCCTGCAATGTGTGCAAGGGAGGGTAGACTCGTCCTCCCCACTCTCAGCCCCACTGGATTTCTGGTCACTCGGCTTCTACTTCTCCTTCCCGAAACTATCTGCTAAAAACACATGACTTCTGGAGGACAAGCTTGGGGAGCCTCCCCAGCTGCATCTCGGTGCCTCCTTCAGTCTGACAGTCTGAAGATCGCTCTCACCCTCATCCTGACGTTTCACAAAACCAAGTCTGCGTGCATACCCCAAGAGGGGTAAGGGTGGAGGGGTGGCTCTGCAACTCACCTCACAGTGCCCGTGCACACCTTGGCTGTTGCAGCAACGCGTCCTGCACCACCAACTGCTTGGCCCCCCTTGCCAAGGTCATTCACGAGCGATTTGGGATCGTGGAAGGGTTGATGGTGAGTTGAGGATGAGGGGCTGGGGCAGGATGGCAGGGAAACCCCAACCTCTTCTTCCCAGGCCTTGCTTACTGTATGGAGTTAAGGGGGAGAGACTGGTTTCGGGAGGAGAGGCCCACCAGTGCAGAAGTCTTTTAAAACACTGTACAACCCTCAGTCAAGGCTGGACCCTGGCCTGCACACGTCCCCACCTGTGGTCTGTGGTGGTGGCCCCACCAGCCTCCACACCTAGGCCACTACCCTAGTCCTGGAAAAAAAGAGGCATGGGAGCTTAGGACCATGAAGGCCTCATCTTGGTCCTTCTCTTCCCCAAGACCACAGTCCATTCCTACACGGCCACCCAGAAGACAGTGGATGGGCCATCAAAGAAGGCCTGGAGAGATGGGCGGGGTGCCCACCAGAACATCATCCCAGCCTCCACTGGGGCTGCGAAAGCCGTGACCAAAGTCATCCCAGAGCTCAAAGGGTATGAGGACAAGAAGCTGCAACCAGGGTGGGGGCATACCCCGGGAGGACTGGACTGGCCCTCAGTCCTTAAGGGGAAAGCAGGAGCCTGGCCCAGCCACAGGGCAAGGGGGAATGGAGGGCAGTGTCCCTAAGTTCTGACTCCTGTTTTTCATGGGGGATTCTCCAGGAAGCTGACAGGGATGGCATTCCGGGTACCAACCCCGGATGTGTCTGTTGTGGACCTGACCTGCCGACTCGCCCAGCCTGCCCCCTACTCAGCCATCAAGGAGGCTATAAAAGCAGCAGCCAAGGGGCCCATGGCTGGCATCCTTGCCTACACCGAGGATGAGGTAGGGGCTGAGGAGACCCTGGGAGGAGCCCTCTGGGGAGGGACATGATTTCCACTTGCCAGGGAGCTGCTCTCAATGTGTCAAGACAGAAACTGCAGGGCGGGAAGGGAGATCTCACTGCCTCAGGGCCTTTGTAGTTGTTGTTCCTTTGGTCTGGAATGCTTGCCCCCTCAGATGACCACACAGTCTGTCCTTACTTCCTCCAAGTCCCTACTTCAACCTCCCTCTTCAGCAAGGCACCCCCTCAAAAGATGTTCTTTCTGTGGCCCTATTCCTCACCTGAAATTTCTTGTCAGTCACTGTTGACCCCAATGGTGTGTGCATTCCAAGAAAACAGGGATTTAGGGGCTGCGTTTTCACTTTTCTGGCTCCAACCTGGCATACAGCAGGTGACCAATACATGCTTAGTGAACAAAAGACAACAGTTCTCATTTTTTTCAATACTTGTTCAGGGCCAGGCCATGGCCAGGTGCCTTCTCTGTGAAGAGTGGATGCCGTGGTCATGGTGGACCCCGTACGTCTACCTTGGTGCTGTCTCCCTGCATTAACTCCTGCAGGTCCACTTTCCCACAGTCACCAGGATCTTTTGTTTTTATGGAATCACACTGCATCACCCGTTTTCAGGAGTGAAAACACTCCTGTGGCCTTTCCTGACACTAGGGTTAAAACCCTCCGGTTCTCCGTTCCTGCAGTTCCTTCCACCTCAGACACTGTGTTGAGGGCCAGAGCCAGTGAGATCTTCCTAGTCATCTAGACCCAGGCTCATGGCCACCCCTCAGAGAGGCCCTCCATACCGGCCATTCCAAACGCTTGCATTATTCCTAGGAAAGGGATGTACTGGTACAGCATGAGGGTGTTTGTGACCTGTGCCCTTTGGTCAGACCCCAGTAGAGTGCCTTGGTCCCTGTCCCCAGAGACTGAACACAGTAGGGCTACATCAAATATAGATGAATGCATGGATGGGTGATAGAGCTAAGAGCACTGTCAGCTCCTGGAGGTCCTTGCTCTGCCGGACACACTTATCTTTGAAATTCTGACGCCCAGGTCGTCTCTACGGACTTCATCGGTGATAGTCACTCGTCCATCTTCGATGCTAAGGCCGGCATTGCGCTCAATGACAATTTCGTGAAGCTCATTTCATGGTAAGGGGAAAGGAGCTGGAGACTTGCAGGGGAACTAAGGGGTGGTCGGAAGGAACCTCCTTGAGCCTGCCAATCCCTCCTGCACAGGTACGACAACGAATATGGTTACAGTCACCGGGTGGTCGACCTCCTCCGCTACATGTTCAGCCGAGATAAGTGAAACGGAAAGGTCCCTTCTTTCCTTCCCAGGGGCCAGGGCCGGTACATGTGCCTCCCGTTCCTGCATCTGGCTGCCCGGGGGAGGAAGGGCACCCGGGGCGGACGCCCCAGGCCGCTGGGTCCATGGTGCAATAAAAAACAGTGCTCACAGCTGCGTCCCGTATTTCTGCGCCGGTCACGGCGGGTTCTGATCCGGGTTTGAGGCCCGCCCCACCCTTACTCGATCGCCTGCGCCCACGGGCGAGGGGTCGCGCTTGACGCCAAGCCGGGTTCCACTTCGGGAGACAGGGACAGCGATGGCAGCGGGAGAGGCCCCGCATGGCAGGAAGCCACACCCCACAGCGCTGGGCCGGGAGCGCTGGCAACCAGGCCCGGTCACGGGCTCTCTGACGTCACTGGGCGCGACACCCCGCGCCTGGACTACCGATCCCAGAAGGTCGCGCGCGGGCCCCCGCCAGTCAGGTGGGCGCCAGGCCCTGGCCGTGGCGAAAGTACCGGCGGAGCCGGAGACGCCGCCTCGCGATCCCGGCGCGGGCGGGACCGGGCGGCCGGCGTCATGACCCTGTTTCACTTCGGGAACTGCTTCGCTCTCGCCTACTTCCCCTACTTCATCACCTACAAGTGCAGCGGCCTGTGAGTGCGGGAAGGGCGCGGGGCGGAGAGGGCGCGGGGCCCGGGCCGAGCCTCACCTCCCGCTTCTCCAGGTCCGAGTACAACGCCTTCTGGAAATGCGTCCAGGCTGGAGTCACCTACCTCTTTGTCCAACTCTGCAAGGTAAGGGCCGCCGGACTCCACGTGTTCTGTCCCCCAGGCTCTGCAGACCCAGGGACCCGCCCCCGTTCCGTATCCCCCGCCACGGTGGGACCGCCCTCGGGACTCCGCATAGGGAGGCGTCAGGATACCTAGAAAGGATGGACTTTAAAGAGGGCACGACCTGAGAAGAGGCCTAAAAGCAACTTTTGCGTCGCACTTAGTAAAACTGAGAAAACGTCAGTAGTGTGGTTGGCTAAGAGGTGTTTTTTTTTTTTGGTGCGATTGAGAGTGATCACTGATTCCCTACATGCTGTTAACACTGCCCAAGGAGCAGCACCTTCAGACCTGACTCAGATGCCCTGTGATCACCCAGAACTCCAACTTCCAGCCCCCTCGGGGACCCGGGGACCTATCCTCTATCTCCTCCATTCCTGTAATCTTGCCACCATCTGGTGGTTCCTCTTCCAGATGGGTCCCCAGAACCTGTCCTGCCCTCCTCATACTCAGGAACTTCCCACAAATCCCACGTGGTTTATCTTGATCCCCTCACCTTGAAGTGACCTCTTTCTGCTTTCTCTTCTCAGATGCTGTTCTTGGCCACTTTCTTTCCCACCTGGGAAGGCGGCATCTATGACTTCATTGGGGTGAGAGGGGCCAGGGAAGGGCAGGGCATGCAGGAGTGGGGCTCCCTGTCCCCTGTGCTTACTTAAGCCTCAACCTGACCCGCAGGAGTTCATGAAGGCCAGCGTGGATGTGGCAGACCTGATAGGTCTAAACCTTGTCATGTCCCGGAATGCCGGCAAGGGAGAGTACAAGATCATGGTTGCTGCCCTGGGCTGGGCCACCGCCGAGCTTATTATGTCCCGGTGCGTGCAGCAGCCTGGAGCCCAGACACCTGAGAAGGGACACCTGGGTTCCACGGGGGTGCTGGAGGGCAGGGGCTCACAGCCTGGTACTGAAGGTGTCTGGGTACTGGAGAATCCCATCCTTTGCCTTCCTCAGCTGCATTCCCCTATGGGTCGGAGCCCGGGGCATTGAGTTTGACTGGAAGTACATCCAGATGAGCATAGACTCCAACATCAGTCTGGTAGGCAGTCCTGCTCTCCCACACACACATTTCTGCTGGCGGCCATACTCCTATCGAGGCCTGGCCCCAACTTTCCGCCTCCCTCCAGGTCCATTACATCGTCGCATCTGCTCAGGTCTGGATGATAACACGCTATGATCTGTACCACACCTTCCGGCCGGCTGTCCTCCTGCTGATGTTCCTCAGTGTCTACAAGGCCTTCGTTATGGAGTGAGCTGGGTGGGGTTTAGGGCTGGGTCCAAAGTGGGGTGGGTTATCTAGTCCCCCTCCCTCATGGTGACATTTTCCTGCAGGACCTTCGTCCACCTCTGCTCACTGGGCAGCTGGACAGCCCTACTGGCCCGAGCAGTGGTAACGGGGCTGCTGGCCCTCAGCACCTTGGCCCTGTATGTCGCCGTTGTCAATGTGCACTCCTAGGCTTCGTGTCTCAGATATTGATGTACCCTTTCCCTGCCTCGCTTCAGGTTTTAGTGAAGTAAACAGTATTTGGAAAGTTGCTGCTGCCTCCATTTCTCTCTCTCTTGGGAACTGTCTCCCAATACCGTGCCCACCTGGGTCCCAGAGGCCCTGGTTCTGGCTCAGGAGCCAGGTAGACAAGCTGGAAGCTAGCCAGTCACTGACTTGTCCCATGTCCTGTTCCTCAGGCTCCTAGTTTGTCAGGAGTAGACAATGTTTGGATAATCTTTGAGCAATGGCAGAGGCCAGGGCCCTCAGGGAACAGGTGATAGAGGGGAGCTAGAATCCAAGAGAAGGCCCTTGGGGGTTCTTCCTCTCCTCACAGCCTCAACCTGGGCCTCTCCACATGGGCCCTTCCGGGCTGGTTACCTCCGAGGCTCCTGGCCCCAGTTTCCCCTCCAATCCATCCTCTGTATGGCAGCCAGGGGATCTATCTGAAACCCATCTAACCGGGTCATCCTCCCGCTTGCAACCACTTGCAGCCCCTTGTTACACAGCGGACAGTCCAATTGCTCGCCCTTTGGTTTTATCCAACCAGCAAAACCAGCTTTTCTGAAACTGCTCTCTAGAATAATTTGCCCAGCCAGATTCTTAACATCGTTCAAGCCATGGGGTCAGCATGGGGCTAGGGGGAGAGTTGTGACTGTGAGCTCCTCAGTTCTATGGCCCTCAGCTCAGATCCCAGCCTGAGCCTTCTCAGGGTGGAGTGGAGAGACAGCTGCAGCCAAGGAGCAGAGCAGTGGGGCCCCCAGCTTCGACATTGTCCTGGATGCCCCCCTCCACCCTCAGCCTTCCTTGGTCCACTGAAGCCAGCTCCCCGCCTCTCTTTGAGGGGGACGTGTCAGAAGTTTTGAATGTCATGTTTAAGCTCCACTTTGATGCACACCTTCCCCACTCAGGAAGATGGTCCCCAGCCCTGACGTTCCCAGTGGGGTGCCCCAGGGAGTAGGTTAGGGCAGTTGCCCCTCCTCTTCCTCCAGGCTGTTGAGGTTCCATATGATTTTTTTTTTTTTTTTTTTTTTTTTTGAGACGGAGTCTCGCTCTGTCGCCCAGGCTGGAGTGCAGTGGCGCGATCTCGGCTCACTGCAAGCTCCACCTCCCGGGTTCACGCCATTCTCCTGCCTCAGCCTCCCCAGTAGCTGGGACTACAGGCGCCCGCCACCACGCCCGGCTAATTTTTTTTGTATTTTTAGTAGAGACAGGGTTTCACCGAGTTAGCCAGGATGGTCTCGATCTCCTGACCTTGTGATCTGTCCGCCTCAGCCTCCCAAAGTGCTGGGATTACAGGCATGAGCCACTGTGCCCGGCCCATGATTTTTTTTTTTTTTTAAGGTTAGGCCTAGGAAAGCTCGCTATGACTGTCTCAGTGTTTCCGGAGGGAGCATTTGCCCTCAGACAGGGCAGCCGCCATCTAGGCCCACTCTTTCTCATTGTTTGGAGTAAAGACAGGGTCCACGGGTCTCTTGGGAGCTGGGAGTGATTGATCGCCTTGACTTTGATGTGGAAACAAAGTAGATGGGGCAGTCTATCTGGGTGGACTTGTGACAAGGTCACTTTCTCCCACACTTCCATGCCCCACATAGCTCTTCACACACATTGAGATAAGTGTAGGTTGCAGAAATCACCAGCTGGAATAATCCCAGCTTACATGGGGTTCAGGGAGAGAGACTGGAGCGGTTAGGGCTGAGTTGGCAGAAGACGGTGAAGCCTGGGCGGTTGGACTGTGAGGAGTCAGGCTGCAGGTGATCAGGGTTATGATGGGAAAACACCAGGTGGTGGGGATCCAGAGGAGCCGCCTGGCCTGCGTGGAAGCAGTGCGGGCTCCCCTGAGCAGAGGACATGTGAGCTGAGACCTAAAGAATGAGTGACTGGGGCAAGGCAGAGGTAATGGTCTTGAGGTCAGAGAGGGGGCCTGTTTTTCCCAAGGGAACATAACTGGTTGGAATGAGTTCAAGGAAGCTTGTGAGACTACAGAAGCTAGCAGGGGTCAGATCACAGAAGGCTTTGGGAACCATGGAGAGCTCTAGGCAGAGGAAGGACAGGGTCAGATTTGGCTTTAGGAAGCTCTGCATGGCTGTGGTCTAGAGTGGGAAGGCTGAGGCCAGGAGGCCAGGGCTGGACGAGAGCAGGGCTGGTGGGGTTAGGGTAGCGACTGGAAGCCAAGCGGAGGTGTTGGTGATCAGTGGGCTGTGTGTATTTATTTACCAGCAGGGGGCGCCGTGGGGTGGTAACAGGTAAGGGAGGAGCAAAAAGTTCCAGGATAACTGGAGTTTGGGGCCTGTAAGCCCGAGGGTTTACCACGTTTCCAAGGGAGAAGGGACCACACTGATGAGACAGTGGGACTATCAGATTGGGTCAGTGCATGGGTACAGGTATGGGGGGTATGGAGGATGATGAAGAGGCCAGTGTAGGTCACCTCCGATACTGGGGGAAGCTGGGGACAGATGTGGACCTCACAGCAGAAACAACTGAAGCAATGCGGTCTGGGGGGCTGTGGTCACAAGGAAGGAGAAGCCCAGGACCTAGCCAGAGAAAGCTGCATAAGAAAGAGGAAGAGAAGTGAACAGAGGGGCTGGGAAAGGAGCAGCAGAGGTGGGAGGTGGGGTGATGGGGTTAACCTTTCAGGTAAGGGGTATGAGGAGGGGACCTCCAGGAGTTGTTCAGGAACTGGCCATTTCTGGGACAGAGGAGTAAGCAGGTAGGCTCAGAGAGGAGACACCGGTGGGGGGTGGGGGATGCTTGATGTGGAAATGACTTGGGCCCCCTTGTGTCTGGGAGCCCCCAGGAGGGAGAAGGGTGCTGAGAACAGAGAAAGCCCAGAGGTGATGGGGGGTGCCTGTGGTCACGGCCCAGCTTGCCTTTAGATGCCATGACCCTGGGCAAAGAAATAGGAATCATTTCCCCAAGGCAGGTTTATTGAGCACCTACTATGTGCCAGGCTGTGTCCTAGGCACTGAAGGTATAGCCCTGAATAAACAGCCCCCATGTGTAGGACTGTGGAAGATCACAAGTACTAATGAGAGACGCTGAGGACAGTGCCTGGCACCGGATACAGCACAGTCAGCGTGAGTTGGTTTTATTACCATCGCCCAGGACACAATCATGTCTTTAACGAAGGGCCCCCGGGCAGCCCTCCTGCCTAGACTGGAGTCCTAAGGACAGAAACACCCTCCAGGAGCGGCCAGCTGTACTCCCTGTCAGAGCCCCACCGCCACCGCAGATGGGGGCTTTCCCAAGGCCAGCTCAGAGGACTGCCCAGGTGCTGCTGCTCCGGGAGGTGCAAACTTGGGGATGGGGGAGGGGAGTGGGCAGGTCCCTCCAAATGTGGGGTGCCGTGGGCTGCAGAAGCAGATACTGGTGGGGCTGGGACTCTTGGTTGCTCAGATGACTTGGTGGCTGTCCAGAGGCTCCCACGAGCCCCGCCCCCACCTGCTGTGGCAGTTGCAGGGATGCTTGAAGGCAGCCGTCCCTCTAATAGTAGAGTTCCTGGTCCCACCAGCCTGGGAGAGAGAGGGAGAAAGTAGACTCAGTGCTGGGGGTGCCACTTAGGCAGGGCTAGGGGCTGAGAGGTCATAGATTGGTGCTGGTTGCTATGGAGGGTCAAGGGCTTGGAGGCCAAGTGTTGAGGATCAGAGGTGGGTGCAGCTGCTCGAAAACGTTTAAGTCCCCCGCCCCCAGGCCCTCAGTCTTCACACTCACTCCCTGGGCAACAGCGAACTCCAAGCTTCCGGATCTCATCATAGACGAAGATGAGGATGCCGTAGGGCAGAGGGACCAGCCACCACTGGAACCTGAAGGCACATGGCAAGGTGAAGGCCATCCCAGGCCTGTGCCCCACAGCCCCCTCCCTCTCCTGGCCCCTCACAGCCTCTCACCGAATGGGCATGAAGTTGAAGATGTTGGGCATGCCGGGGCAGTAGCACAGGAAGCAGCCGATGCAGACCTGGAACACGATGGCGATCACCAGGATCTTATTCCTGGGGGTGGGCAGGATAGGACAGGCCATTAGGAATTGGGGACGTGATGCCAATCAGGATACTGTGGGTCAAAGTAGGTCAGATGTCAGCAGCAGCAGGGAGGTGTTCTACACACTGAACACTGGAGTGGCCCGGGCCTCTCAGCACCACCCCTTTAGTGAAATGAGGGGGCCATTGGGAGGAGCTGTTGGTCAGTTAGAAAAGTTTTTTGGCATGTCAGCGTCTGGCACCGGCACCCGCTAGCATTTGCCGGCTGTTCTAAACCACAGTCAGGATCTGATGGGAGTTGGGACCAGGGGTTGGAGGGCAGGAATGGGGCCCGCCAGGGACACCTGAAGAAGCCTTGCTGGAAGGCAGAGAGGCGGCGCGTCTTGCGGATGAGGACATCGGCGATCTGGCACACCTCGATGCTGATGAAGAACACGGTATAGCAGGTGTACTGCTGGTACAGGCGCTGCCCGAATGTCTGCAGGCCAGGGGCAAACGGAAACAGCCTGAGTCCAGCCTGAGTCCCAGCGGAGAGCCTCTGCAGCCCACCGGGCATAGGGTCCCAGGGCCGTGAACCCCTAAATGCTCTCTCTGCCTTGCATCAGAGGGTGGGAGGTGGGGGGAAGGCGAGAGGCAGAGTCTGTCAGGTGTGCAGGACCCCAGACTGGGGCCCAGAAACCTCAGCCTAGCAGAGCTTGGATGACAGTGCCTGGGAAAACAGTAGGCTGGGCTGACCGCTTTCATAGTGGAAGGTGGGAGGCACCCAAAAGAAAGGGCCTGGGAAAGGGGAATTGAAATCCTCAGATGGGATTTGCAAAGTCCAGTGACTCCAGGGGCCAGGCGGATGGCAAAAATAGGTGAGGCAGGCACCGCGGACCTTTGGGGAACAGAGGGAACGTGCCCCATTTAAAGGGGGCAGCCACTATGCAGCTCATTTCTTCAACACAGCTACTTTTTTTTTTTTTTCTGAGATGGAGTCTCGCTCTATCACCCAGGCTGGAGTGCACTGGTGCGATCTCAGCTCACTGCAACCTCCAAATCCCAGGTTCAGGAGATTCTCCTGCCTTAGCCTCCC